GGACTGTTTAGACGTTAGTTTTTAAAAAACCTTTGCTGATTTTGCTCATTATTTAGTTAAAACACAACACCACTCATTGGTTCAACATACAAAATAACATAGGACATTTACAAAAGGTCATATCATCATTACACAAGCACAAATATGAATATGTTTATTATATATACCTTTCAAAAAGTCATCACAAAAAAATTAAATGCCATAATGATACTTGAGATATGATACAGTTTCTTAATCTCTCATTGGGTAACTATTTGTGAGGTTTTATTCAACACTATCAAGGCACTACTACAACACTTTAAGACTAGTACACTGCCTCTCGTTTGTCTTCTGTTCTGAATTTTGCCTTTGTCTTCTGTTCTGAATTTGCCTTTGAAGGAAGAAGTATCCAAATCACTGCACATCCAAGTAACTATATCAGCACTTAACAATACCAACTAATCAAGTGTACCACATGTTTACCCACAACCAGTAAACATGTGTTTTACCAACAAGTAACCAATTATACCAACTAATTTACCAAAATACAAGTAAACAAGTATAGATAATATTTTGTACCAAAAACAAATAACCAAGTGCAGCAAGTGTTTACCAGAAAACAAAGTGAATCAATCCAGTTATTTGGATGGTATGAGAAGCTTGACGTGTAGATTGTGTAGCTTCTACACTGCCTGCAAATGACATTAAAGATACTCCGTAATAATTGTTTATAATAATTATTCTCCCAAGGACTAAATTGAATGCTTTAGAACAGAGGTATATATGAAAAACCTTCTGTCTCCTTTGTGTGATCTGTTTCCTTGTTATGGTAGCTTAGGCATGTATTTCAACAAATGAGCATCTAGGAATACAAAAATGAGATTATTAATCAAGGTAAAATTAACCGATTTTTTTAAAAAGAATGCACTTCAGCAAATGCATTTATATGTATTTGAAAATAAAAACACTATATAAGAGCGTTGAAACCATCTTTAACAATATGTTAAGATAGAATAAGAGATGTTCTTCCATGCTTAAAGTCAAGACATGATCTAAAGAGGAATAAAATGTCAACATAGATTTGCAGGAACCATTAGAGATATGCCCTAAGATTTTTGTACGAAAAGAGTTAATAAACAAAGTTATAAAAGAGCATTTCCAGAGATGGTATATCTTAGAACAAACAACATCACAACACAGCTATTACTCTAGTAGTTAACCTTCAAATATAGACTTTTCTATTCAATGTAATATGAAGATTTGTGCATGGAGACATACAATTTCCACTTCCTCATTGGGTCAAACTCATCCCATTAGCATTAAGCTCCACTACCCCCTGTAGCAAACCAGGACACCTATAAATATGGAGGTCAAGTCCTAAAACAATGTGAAAATCAAAAAAGTATTAGGCCTGGCAATTGAACGGCAGCAGACTCACCAAAATCCAACCAATTTCACCCCATTTCAATTCAATTTCAATCAAATTCAAATAAGTTTCACAAAATTTAAAATCAAGTTTGCCTAAAATGCTATCAATTTCAAACAAACTCACTCAATTTCACCTTATTTGATAATTAATAGCAATTGAAACAAAAAGTATTAAATTTAACTGCATAAAATTAAAGACCTTGAAGTTGAGGGTTAGGGAGGGAGGGTTACTGGTTGTTGGCAAGGGCGAGAGAAAATGGGGTGTCACCTTCGACCTATGCTAGTGACGATGGGAAAAGGTGGCGAGACCAGCTAAACGGCGGCGACGGAGGCTAGGCGAGGGTTGGAGAGGGGGCTGCTGGGCGTCTGTTGTTGGAGAGGTGAGGCTGCTAGAAAAGGTGGCGACGGTGGTGAGGGGAGGCTAGTCGATGGGAAAGTGTAACAGTTTATGAGAAATAGTAAAAGCATGATATGACTTTACACTGAGAAGTGTGTGATGGTGCTTTGATAATGTCGAATGCTTTGGATCTGCTTTCATTAAAGAAACACCGCTTTTCTAGGGTTATTTTCAATATAAATCATCCTAAATAAGACTAAAACATAGAGAAAAGTACCAAAATAGGACTTTCATTATTTTTTTTCTAGAATAAGATTTTACACTGTGGTAATGTGACTTTGCATTGTGGTAATGTGGCAGTGTACATCTGCAAATTACTATACCTTTTTGGTAATGTATATGACCATGTTTGGTAATGTGTCCTATTTCGGGAATAAAAACATGGAAGTCCTATTTTGGTATATTTTCAATGTTTTAGTCCTATTTTGGTCTTTCTCCCTATTTTCAAATCACATCTCATCCTCAAGCTTTGTGTTTGACTTGACATTTTAATTGATTATGTTATTGTACGCTATTTTAGTTCAATATTTATTTTAACTTGATTTAGAAATATAGTGTACAGGGAAGTCTTTCAAAACCTTTAATTTTAATTTTTTTTGTCTTCACTATACATTCCTCAATATTAGTATATAATACTTTTAACGTTTATATTGAATGCAATTTCGTTGTGTTATCTTTATATACACTATAAATTTATTTTTTATTTTCTTTTACTGAGGTGTGATGTAGAGACTAACATAGGAAATGTTATTTTATTGTGTTTGTGTAGTTTGTAATGTTAAATAATGTTGATTATTGGTGTATTAATAGGATACTTAGTATTATTATAAGAGATTAAACTTAACGTCGTAGATGATTATTAATTTCTAAATAGTAGAGCATAAATTTGTGGATGTTGCTAGAACTATTTCCAAGTTGTTTTATAATTTGGTTTTTTTCCCATGTAGAAATGAAATGTTGCATAGTTGATGGTTTTGCTTAAATGGATGGTGTTGTGAATTGGTTTTTTTGGGGATGTCTACGGTATCATGGTTGTGTGTAATGAGCAGATCAGATTATTACGTAGGTTAACGTTAGTAGTTTTGGTTTTTTTATTGTGAGTCGAATTATATAGTGTTATAGAATTAATTGTGTTATTCAAAAATGTAGTTTTAAAAGAATGTATAATTCTCTTTCATGACTGCCGGTAGTTAATTAAATGTTGTATATGTTCTTGGTGAGTCAATATGTAATGTTCCATTGGGTAGACATGAGTGGGTGAATAGAAAGGTATAGGTTGGGGTGTTTTTTTTGGTTTTAAAATAAGATTAATAAAAAGAATTGTTTGTTTTTTTGTTGTATTCACTAAAAATGGGATATATAGATTAAGAAGCAATTATTGTATGAATGGCTGTGTTATGTTTTGTGAGTTGAGTAATTTATATTTAATTTGGAGGTAAAGGAAATTAATAATATGATGTGAGAGAAAATATAATATATTGAATATAGTTTTCAAACAAACATAACTGCAAATCAAGAAAAACATTATAAAACCTATGATTAGTTGAATTCATATTTGTCGTTTAATAATAATTCGCTGGTGTCATGCATGTTGTACGGTTGTCAGTGATGATAAATTCTTGAATTTGGTTTGCATCACCAGGCGAATATATAGGTATTGTTGTATAGCATGTTTGTGTAGCCTGTAATTGCAAATATAGAATAGAATTGGTTGAGAAATATGACAGTAATTTGAGTGGTATAGTATTGAAGAAGAGATGAGGAGTAATACCTGATATGATGTTGGAGTATGGTGTTTTGCAGTATAAAGTCATGCTGCAATTTGTTTCCCTTTGTGTATGATATATGGGGTGAAGTCGATCGGTCCCCTATGAAGCATTATTACATATTAGAGTATAGCGTGTAGGTAAGAAATATTGTACAACCAAATAGATACAGATAGTTTTGGGAATATAATTTGTGGAGTTTTAGCGTTCAGTTCCATACATAATGGTTTTTTTAAAAATCTTCAAGTTTGTATTTAAACCATGTACATGTACTGAAATAGGTTTATTTTTGTGAAATAACAGTTTTTAGCATTTGACGCCTTTGTTTTTTTGTGTAAGGATTGAGGGGTAATAAAGGTTTTTTTATTTAGTTTGAGGTGGGGTGTACCTGATGGATGGGGTATATTATTAAACACTTCCTTGTAGACTATATTGCGCGTGTGCCTTACATATTCTTCCTCTTTTTCTTTGAGGATGAATTTGAGTCCATTTGGTTGCGTGACTCTAGAGGCAACAACATAAAGCTGGCCGTGTGTGAAGACAGGGTTCGGTAGATAAATTCCTACATGTGTTAACAATTGCCATTGGCACTTATTAATTGTCATAGCATAGCACAGTCGTAGGGGGTATTGTCTTCGTTTTAAGACAAAAGGGTATTTTGTGTCTTTTGAAGATATCACTATTCGTGGGATGTCCACCACTGTTCCAACATGATTCCCTGTGATTATCCTTGCCCGAATAATACTGTCCCAATTTTCTAAGTAATAGTACTGGTGTGCCACATTTCAAAGTAAGTAAATGGTTTGGCATCCCAGGGAAGGTTAGTGTGTTGAGGAATTCAGTTGGGTATCCAATTTCATGTGCATCACTGTCTTGTGAAGCCTTGCAGATTTCATCACAAATGTTATATGCCTTTTCCTCTCCAGGTAGTAATTTGTACATGTCTTGGTTAATATCTTCTGCAGTGGTGTTCAATGGGGTCAATATTGATCGTTCTTTGAGGTAATTCTCATCATTCCATTTTTCAAGGAAGTTGGGGTATGTGGTTGCTATTAAAGTTGACATGTCAGTGGAGTGACCTGGGATGTAGTGTTGTTGAGGTATTTCTATCCAGGTGGCCTCGTCCTCATTCGGCAGGGCTTTTGTCGGCAAGGTTCCATTACCCATCTTTAACAACCAATTGTTGAATTCTTTTGCATTTTGATTTTCAACTGAATTTCCTACATCCTCTTGGATTCGCATGCTCTTTGTGAGTGTGTAAACTGTGCAACTTTCCCATATGTACGACCGATTTAATGATGCTTGAACAATATCTAGACGTTTACCTTTTGGTATAACTAGAAGTACTTGGCGGAAGTCACCACCCATAAGTATTGTTTTTCCCCCAAAAGGGAGGTTTGCTGCAGACGCATTCTTAAATGAGACAATGTCTTTGAGTGTGCGGTCAACTGCCTCAAATGCAAATTTGTTGGCCATTGGAGCTTCATCCCATATTATCAATGAACACTCTGTCAAAAGGCCTGCCAGTTATGTCTGCTGTTGCACGGCACATGTTGTGCCTTCAAATAACTCAATTGGAATGTCAAATCTACTGTGTGCCGTCCGACCTCCTGGTAATATGAGTGATGCAATCCCTGGTAAGATAAAAATGTGTTAGTAATAGCTGTTTTTGGTGTGTAAATGTGTTATAGTGTATAAGTATGTATTATACCTGAGGATGCGATAGTTAGGACAATCTTTCTTTCGCTTCTCAGCTTAGCAGCTATAGTGGAGTATAAGAAGGTTTTTCCTGTGCCTGTGCCACCATGTCTGTAGACGAAGAATACTCCTCCATTACCGGTCTCCACCGCTTGTACAACAGCATGGTAGACTTTTAGCTGTTCGTTGTTTAAAGAGGATTTGCTTTTTTCATGCATTAGTGTGAGACTTTTAGTATCATAGCTTAGCTCCTCTCGGATTAGTCTGTTGTCCAAGTGGTGGACCTGTGTAATTTTAGGTTGGGAGAGATGTATTTTGTCCAACTCTAGTAGGGCATATGTTTGAATTTGTTCCGGTGACAATTCTAGCTCTGGGTGCCTGTATATTTTCCTTCCATTTCGTAGAATGTCTTCCTCAAGAGCATGTCTCGTTGTCTCCCATAATTGGCGAGGATCTGATACTTCACAAAAAAGCAATATTGTCACAAATAGTTCTCTCAACTATCTAGGTGTTGCCCACTGGTCAGCTTCCCGTATTGCATCTAACCACTCTTTGTCGTCATTGAGTAGGCCAAGTGTGTAACATGCAGCCTTGAAGGTAGGGTGGAGAATTTCATTTACTGTACGGATGTCTTCAAAACATGTGGGGCCTCTGCTAGAGTTGAGAAGCAGTCGGAGGTAGTAGCGTTCCCCTGCAATGGGGTGGACATACGATATTCTCCCCACGCAGTTTCCTCTCTTTCGCTTTGTCCATTGTTTTGTAATTATCCATTTCTGTTCAGCTTCGTTCCAAATCCTTACATTTGGATTCCACACATACTTACTTGGGAATTCTACGTAAGTTAGAGACCTTGCCTCTTCAGATGTTTTGTTAATGGTCATCCACTGTGTAAGAATTGTTTAGTGAGCTGCTTCTTGATTTACTGCCTCAACAATGTTTTGGTTATCTTTGAGTGTTAAAAGTTTTTCAGAACGTCACAAAGAGATTATAATTTAAAAGTGTATAATACATCGGGATATGGGGTAAGAGGGAGGTGAGATTGGGTTTGTTGGCAAACCTTTTATTTTCTCTTCTTCTGTATACTGCATACCCTATTTCGTCAATGGTTGTTTGTTCATAGAACTGCTTTGGGTATTTTTTTGTGCAAATGTTTCCCTGCATACATGGAGCATCTTTTCTAATGTGGCCGCAGGGGCCATGTACCATGAATTTTGATACCAATTCATATGCTTTTGTATTTTCTTGTTGGGGTATCTCTGCAGAAATAATGCTGTCTATGAAGGTCGGGTCGTTGTGGGTTTCTGATTTCGTTAACCACAATAGTATATGAACATGTGGGAGTCCACGTTTTTGGAACTCTATTGTGGCAACATCTGTGATGATTGTAATATTTTAGCACAGGAAAGTAACATGTATTGTATAAAAGTGGTTTTGTAGTGTGTAGGTGTTTAGTTAAGAACATAGAGTAGAGTGATTGGACTTACAAAGTGGTTGTCCTTTGTGAGTGTTTTCATGAGTTGCTTCAGTTTCATGTTGAAAACGCGGCAAACTATATCCGCACGATCCTCTGCCCTCTGTCCAGGGATATATTCTAGCATTTTCCTTCTGGCCAATTTGAGTTTGCAGTAAAAGTGATAAACAGATCTGGGTTTCCATATTTTCGGCATATTGCCATGGCATCCTGATAGTTTTGGAACATGTAGCGTGGCCCTCTGGTAAATGATGATGGTAGTACTGTACGTTTACCTACTGCAGAGGCAATTGTGTCCCCTTTGTTGACAGCATCACATACATTTCTGAATATATCTGTTCGAAAAGTATCTTGCTTGGAACGAAAGTAGTTTAGACGCTCCTCCTCAATTGCAGTATATGCGTCTACGACATATTGTTGGGACAGTCTGCCTCCAAATAAATGTGTTACACCTTCAGTGAGCCGTTGCTGAATGCGATAAACATAGAATTCCTGCATGGTCATGAATTTCCGGGTCACATTCAATCTGGAATCGGGTTTGTATGGTATTTTTTCATGATATCCATCTTCCCCATATGGGAAAAGGAGGGGGTACTGCAATGACATGAAACTTGGGTGTCTCTTACAAATCTTCTGTAGTCCTTTTTCTTTGTGTTGCACTATAATATCTCTACCATCGGTCCCCTGGCCAAAATCTCCAACGATAAGTGCAGCTATTTCTGATGCTATTGGGGCGTTGTATTGCTTACGTTGTTGTGGCCGGTCAGATAGAAGGTGTAACTGGTACTCTTGTTCCTTGTCTATTTTCATTCTGTCTTGCCATGCGAAACACTTGTGCCAAGCAATTTTCCTTGTCTAACATATGCATAATGACTACCACAATGTCTGGATCTAGTTTAGACTGTGGTTTGTCTTTTGTCAATGAATTGATCCTGCTGTGTACTTCTGAAGAGTGGTCGTCATACATATACAATTGGAGGAATTTATGGGGTTTCTTACTTTGAGGCATTAATGATCCTATTTGATGGTAATTTTGTCCACTAATACGAAACACATATGGTCCTTTGCTTTTGTTGATTTCGTAATCAATATCGGCACCAATTGATGTGAATGCAAAAATTGAGTTATAAGCACGGATATTCTCTCTGAATAACTTGGCTCGTTTACCACCACTGTAGCTTAAGAGGTTTCCCAGATATTCTGGTGCAGGCTTTAATCCTTCGAGTTTGATTCGTCCCTCCATGCAGCATAATGAAAAGGTGGGTGGCCTGTTTTGATATCTGGAGTTATTCAGTTCTTCTTTCCACATTATGGCATGATAATGCTGGCATAGCTCTGTTGGATTTGACAAAGCCGTATATGTTAATTCCCCACCTGTATCTGTATCATGTAACATGGATATTTGTTATACTTGTGTCATAACTGGGGTTTTTTAAATTTCAATAAAAACATGCTTACTTTGCAGGTTTGAGTTTTTTACTCGGTCAGGTTCTTTACGTCGATGGCCTGTTCATTTGTGTACGTTAGGATATAAATTTAAATACTGTATTATTAGGATGAAAGAGTGTATACAAAAATGGTAGCACCTTGTTTTCTTTCGTGGGAAGTGCTTGTATGGCCTGTTCTGTCCATTTCATCTGTGGCCTGCCTTTTACGCTGAATAATAAGTTTGCGCCGCTTACGTGCTTCCGCTGGTGTTTGTATGAATTGGCAGTGTAGTCGTCCTCCATGTTTGGAAATCACGCCTGTATGTTTTGCATATTGGTTGTGTGATGTTTTTAGTATGTATGGAATGTATTGGGTTATATTTTTTTCAATGCTTACAGGAAATGTTTGCTATCCATATTCCATTTCAGTTACAAATAAATAAAGTTATAATCAGGGGTTGAATAGTAGCAATTAATGTGTGTTTGATTATTAACTTTATTTTAGTATAGTCATATAATAAGTATATTGTGGCTTTTAAAATTCTTTCAGGTGTGCTCTCCTGTTATTATTTTTTAAAGTAGGGATGATGATTGGTTGTATCCTTCATCTCAGATATGTGATGAGACTGCAGCAGAGACGGCGAACAGCATAGGCGTGCGTACAATATCCAAACTGTTAAAAAGGAACTAAAATAGGCAATTTAAAATATACATAGAGAAGCTAATTTTCTTAGTGAATGTTTATTTTTTTGTCATTGATGTGTTGATGAGGTTTAAGTTGGAGTTGAATAATAAATATTTCAATGATCTGAGATTATAAGTACTTTCTCGGCTTTCTCTTAAAAAGGAAAAAGGACTGTCTACATTTTTCCTTTTCCAAATTTTATTCACTGACCTGATTTGGGCCGGAGCGTAATGGATTTCACCACCTACAGAGCACCCGTCGTTTTATCGTGTCATCTGAATTCTCACTTAGTCGAGAAGGTTTATAGAAAACATGGCGTGGATCCTTTGAATGAACCAACATTGATCTGCAATGTTCAAGTTAGGGATAAGTTTAAAGAGAAGTTTGGAGGAATTAATATTAAGATAAAATATTATGAAACTCATAATAGAGAGTTAATAAAGAATGTTTTATAATACTACATCAATCAGAATTGTCATTCACCGAGTACTGATATATTCGTAAAGTATATATATACCTTCCTTAATATATATATTGTATTTGAAGCATAATATGAGACTTTGTCCCTTGAAAATTTTTAAGTTGTCTTACGGATGTTTTGTTTGCTGTCATAATAATGATAAGATGCACAATTAATAGCTTTGAAAATGTGTTCCAATATTTGTTTCCAAACTACTGCCTAAAGTTACTGCGGTGGACAGAAATAGAGTAATCTGGCATGACGTTTAAGGCGTGGGAGCGTACATACATGAAGTGAAGAGAAAGGAATTGAGTATTTGGAGGTCCAGGTCTACAGACAGATATGGTCATAATACCCCTTGTGCCATTGTAATACTCCACCTTATACTATATGTCACCTGCCATGTTTCATCTTACAGGGTTGAGTAGTGTTGTACTGTCTGTTGTTTGTGATTTACATGCCACACATGACCCAAAAAGCATGACTATTTGCTGTGAAATTATAACTTCAGTAGATTCTATGAAAAGGATCACCATCAACAATGCATTATGAGTTCATTTTTAACATTATATAATATTGACACTGATCCATTGATGAAATTGTTTTATTAAGTTCTGCATATTTGACTTTTAAGGTCATCAGCAAATCTGTCTGTCTGAAAACAAGAATCCATTATCACTTTTAACATCTTCCAGTGTTGTTAAAGACTGTAGAATATTAATAGCAATCCATTACATGTACATATATTGTGAATTCTAGGGAAAGGAAATCTGTAAATAGAATATGTAAACATAGAAGTATTAATATGTTAGTGTATTTTTAAGTATAATATATTTCGGTTCCATCATGTTATGACAGTCTCTAAGTATCCATTTCTTTCCTGCAAGGGTACATCTGTGCATGATGGTTGATATAATCTTTTTGCTGGTTTAATCATCATTTCTTAATAGTGGTGCCAACGAATTCCTCACGCATTATGGAATTGGCGTAAAGAGGCATTTTTTAAACATAGTGTGTGAGAGTTTCAGTATTTAAACACAACATAGTACTCAAATATGAATAACTGCGTGTTGTGAATGAACATAGTAATAAAGACAACAGTGAAGAGGTGTATAAACTCAATAGTAATGCCCAAAAGATAAATGACTTATTCTCATTATGAAAATACGGAGTCATGGAGAAGTACACATAATGTAATACTGTGTTTGAAATGAAAAATAAATAGTGCTAGTGGACAGTTTACACTGTGTGCTGTCTCTTTCTCTTTCTCTGTTTTTTTGTTGTAAAAGTACTCTCTAATATTACGTGGGAACAGTAATACTGGTCACACTGTAAAACTTTATTTGTAGAAACTTTATTCCATAATAGCTCTGTAGTTTCCACTGCTTTGACGTTCTGCTTTCTGAGGTTTAAGCCGTTCTAATAGCACCATCGGTGTTCTCACTGTGGCAATGTTCAGTTTTAAATTCTTTGCTAACATAATCTATTACATATCAAATCTGGGCTTATTTAAGAGACAACAAACCTTAAACGCATTTTCTTATTTGGAGTGTTCTCTATGGCAGGTGAACTTGGGGTGGCACTGGCAGAAGCTTCATGAGGTGTCTACATTCATCACATACAGTTGAGTTCACATTAAAGATGTCATGCTACGGATTTTGGAATGTCCTATTTCAATTTGAGGAGGCATGTAATGCATAAATCAATGTAATGCATTTAAAGGTAATAGGTGAATACCTCTTTATTTTTCATTGGACCAATTATAGACTCCTTGTGTACTTTATTTGCTCCGAAACTCTATGTGTATGCTGTTTTGTTGTATTCAGTGAGTTTCACATGAAACAAAAACCTCTGTCCAATCAGATTGGTAATCAATGCAGGTAACTGCCCTTGTGTTTCCTCATCTTGGGAGTTTTACATGCTAAAGTATTAGTTCCATGTGCCATTATTGTAAGTATGTGTAATATTCGATGGAAATTGTAATCAAAATGCTGTATTTTTATTCTCAATACCTCAAGTTTTTCTTCCATATCGTACAGGCTAATAGTAGATTGCCTTATAAGCTTTTCAGCTTCATCATCAAATATAATGAACTTAGTAACCTCGGTCTCATCCTTAACTATGGCTTCAAGTCGATACCTATGTTTTAAAATGAAAGACTTCCATGTGAGGGAAATATTGAAAATAGATGATATGTGAATGGGTGTCAAATCTGTATATCAGTAATACAGATCTCATATGTTGGCATAAATTATTTGGTAAACATAGCATTGCTTCAATATAATACCTTGGGACAGCATCATCAACTAACTTGGATTTTTTTTTGCACCAAAACTTTGAGCCACTAGGCTTGACTATCCCCTTGCAGTGTCCGCATGAGTTATAATACCAACTATTGTTGTTGCTTATATTATGTATCAATGCATGATAGTAATACATTACGCCCTTGAGTGTTTCATTACATACATAGATATTAAAACCACGTCATTAATGGTGTTTAAAATATCAATTTCTAAACATTTTTGGTAATTATCAATCGTGATGCTCTTACAGTTTTGAAGTCGGTTGATGCAATAGCCAAAATCTCTGCAATGGTCTTCAACCCAGCAAGGACTGTGTCCCGGTCTACAACAGCCCTTTCAACCAAGAGTGGTTTGAGCGTCTTCTCCTCACTGTGTTTTGAAAAGTAAGATCATATCCGTGATATATATCTTTTCATTCAATTTATTAGTTCTTTAAATTTAACATTGGTAGTGACCAAAAAAAATTGTACTACAGAAGAATCAAAATATTACTTTACATTTTTTTGTTTTTACAAAATCATATATATTAGTAAGAAGCAAAGGGTGCAAACATTCTTTAAAATACCTATACTTATTTTTTTAGTGCAGCAACTTCGTCAATAGCAACATCTAAGAACACCTTTGTAGCAGTGGTTGTGGACAATGTAGTGCGTTCTGCAAGGACAATGAGCACAGAACAAATATTCTTATAATCAAATCCACACGCACATACTTGTCGAATAGGAACTTACTCATATATTCTTTCACCAAGTTTGATGTGAACACCCCAACAATTACAGAAGCCGGAAGTGCAGTTTTCTGGGTAATATAATCGGCAACACTCTTGCCCCAAAGTGTTATTCTCAACTTTGCACCACTAAACATGTTAAGAAAACAAAAACATCTCGTTATCTCTAGTGGCCTAACCGACTGTTGGTTACGTTGTAATAATTATCGCACCCATTTGTGTTTTGAAAGCAAACCTCAAATCTTGCAATTCTAACATGAGGCTTTTCACGGTACTGTTATAAACGTTTTTGTATGTAACCTCACCCTCGCCACAGACGTGTCCCACTACATCTGAAAAATGGAAACACATGTTATCCTAAAGTATAATCTGGGAAACTGATACATATCAAAGTGTGTAAACAGTGGGATTAAAGAGTTAAAAGTGACAAAACCTGTTAGGATGTAGTCCTTGCCCAACCTCATGGGAACTTTGTCAAAATCTAGAAAATCAAAACGGTGCAGTGGAATGTCTGGAACCTGGGCAGGTGCGGGTCTAACAATTGAAGTAGCATTCATCTGGATCATGATTTTGCTGTCTCCAACAACGCGAAAGCTGTTTCTGTTTTCAGTAACCCCAAAATTGTTTATAGAATATATCTTGCCTTCAACAATCGTGTTACGAAACAAATGTGATAAATTGCCCTTGATGCATGGATATAGGAACCCTAATGCATTCAAAAAATAGGTAATTTTAAAATACGTTAAACGATTTAAGAATAATGAAAGGCTGAACTAAATTCAAGCAGTATACTACCTTCTCATCTTTAAAAACCATATCAGTACTAAGAAGCTCTATATTGTTCTTCACGCTGTACGTGTCCCAAAGTATGCAAACACGCACCAAAATTGGCAAATTGCTGTCAGGTGCAGCAAGCTTTTGGAGTGGAACAAAAGTAACTTTCTTGTCACTGCGTATAGCTTTGGCTACAGACATATTGATGGGATGACAATGCTCACAAATCACTCAGGGAATTTCAAAAAATATCTACGCAATACTGAGGTGGTAGATGCGTACATATATATGGCCGTCACCTAAACACCAAGAAGGCTAACAAACGTAAATTCCTAAAACCTTTCCCACTCCCTTATTCTAATAAATGTCTATGATTACAAAACCTAATAATTGGAAGAAACCTCACAACTTCTCCGTTTCAATTGTAAAGTGTTATGAATTCCATCAATTATACAATAAATGCATCTTTATCACCTGATTTTGGCAGAGCAAAGGTTGCTGGAAGAAAATCATTTTTCCTGCGCCAATGAGAAAATGGAAATGAACCGTGAGAGAAAAGGGAAGAAACCCCAGGCCTTTTGGTGTGATCAGCAACGTCAAGGAGGGTGTCTGCGGCGGGATTAAGGATTTTACCCGGCTAGAAACTGCGGCGAGATTAAGGATTTTATCCCGGTCATGCTACACTTACACCACAAATTGTACCCCATTTGTACACCGTAGTTATACACAAACACTTTGATAGTTTACACCGACACAAGTGTTGGTGCGTTAACAAAAATTTACACGGACACAAAGTATTGGTGCATTAACAAAAATTAGTTTTACACCAACACAAAGTGTTGGTACAAACCTACGAGGTACAAAGTGGGGTACAAAAATATGGGGTACAAATAGCTTTATCCATTTTACCCGGCTGGAAAACCGCAACCTTAAATCTGTCAGGGTCCTGAAGAATTGGATCGTTGATGACTAAGCACTATAAGAAATACATATTTAAAAAGATTATTGCACATGGATTACACATCATACTTTTAAAATTACACATGGATTACACACCACGTAGGCTGCCACATGTCGTTACGACAGCTAAACCGCTCTACTTTATATATATATATATATGATGATATATGATATGATATACATACATACATACATGCATGCATACATACATACATACATTCATACATTCATACATACATACATGCATGCATGCATGCATGCATGCATGCATGCATACATACATACATACATACATACATACATATATGAGTAATATGTTATAACTTTTTGTTGAATTACATCGGGAATAAAATAAATTGAATTAATCCGAACTTATAAAATGTTCGGGTTTTACAACGATAATAGATAAGTAAATTGGAGTCTTCGGGTAGCTCGAACGATCTGAAACGGAAGCAGGAACACGAACGGATCGCTGGGCAGAGACGACGGGTAGGGTGTCGCCAAAGAAATTTCTTGAACAGAGGTAAGGAAAGCGAAGTCGCCGGAGCTTTCCTTAAGGTAGTATTTTTCGCCTCCCGCTCTGGCAAACGTGGGCAATTTCCTCCCAGGATAAAACCGCTACGTGCAAGGCTGGGGGCGGTAGAACCGTGCACCGAGGAATGACAATGACGAGACGTCACTGCCGGAGAAAATGATCAGAAGTCGGGGATTCGTCAGAAGAGTATAAGTATCACAGAGAGAGTGTTTTGCTCGTGCTCTTGTTCTCTCAACCAACCTCTCCTCAAATATGAGGAGTGTGGGTGTGTAACACCCCGGCCCCAACCCTAGCCGTAACTGTCCGCTCATAGGATTGTAAACTGACCCCACAAACCAATACACGTCTTTCTCGCACACTTTGACCTCACTCGTGCGCGCCCAAGGAAAACTTCCTAGGGGGTCACCCATCCAAGAATTGCTCCAGGTCAAGCACGCTTAACCTTGGAGTTTCTAGGTAGTGAGCTCTCGAAAAGAAGATGCACCTTGTTGGTATGAGTAGTACTATCAATCCTTTTAAGCTCTTCCCATTCCATCTTAATACGGGGTATTACATTCACCCCCACTTAGGAATGCAACGTCCTCGTTGCATCCTTTTTTTTAAAAACCCTTAGATCTTCCCCGCTAGGTGAACTAAGCTCTTTTGGCCCGTCACGGTCGCAGGGTTGCTCTGATACCATTTGTAACACTCCGGCCCCCGCCCTAGCCGTAAGTGTCCGCTCATAGGATTGTAGACTGGCCCCACAAACCAACAAACATCTTTCCCGCACACTTTGTCCTCACTCGTGCGCGCCCAAGGAAAACTTCCCAGGGGGTCACCCATCCAAGAATTGCTCCAGGTCAAGCACGCTTAACCTTGGAGTTTCTAGGTAGTGAGCTCTCGAAAAGAAGATGTACCTTGTTAGTATGAGTAGTACTATCAATCCTTTTAAGCTCTTCCCATTCCATCTTAATACGGGGTATTACACGGTGAGTGTATCTAGTTAAATTACACAGAAAAATACATCCGGGCATAGGATGTAGAAAGATCTGTTTATGAGTGTCTTGAATTTAGCATTGTAAACATGGAAGAGTTTTTCGTATATCGTCCTGAAATAGTGGAAATATAATTTTTTTCTCTCATATGTTCTTATGTTTGTTCTCTCATTTTTTGGTGTTTTCAATATTTTTCTGTATCTTACGCGCTCAAAATCCTAACACTTTTTTATATGAGGAATATGTTATAACTTTTTGTTGAATTACAGCGGGAATAAAATAAATAAAATTAATCCGAACTTATAAAATGTTCGGATTTTACAACGATAATAAATAAGTAGATTGGAGTCTTCGGGAAGCACGAATGATCAGAAACGGAAGCAGGAACATGAACGGATTGCTGGGCAGAGACGTTGGGTAGGGTGTCGCCGGAGAAATTTCTTGAAAAGAGGTAAGGAAAGTGGAGTGGCCAGAGCTTTCCTTAAGGTAGTATTGCCCGCCTCCCGCTCTGGCAAACGTGGGCAATCTCCTCTCAAGATAAAATCGCTACGTGCAAGGCTGGGGCGGTAGAACTGTGCACCGACAAACGAGAATGACGAGACGTTACTGCTGCAGAAGATGATCGGAAGCCGGGGATTCGTCGGAAGAGTATACGTATTACAGAGAGAGTGTTTTGCTCGTGCTCTTGTTCTCTCAACCAACCTCTCCTTAAATAGGAGGAGGTTTGGCTAATGGACAGACCAGACGGATATACCGAGGAGTCTCAAGTGACTCTTCAGACGGCATGCATATCCCTTGGACAACCCACTCTTCGTTAATCACGAAGTATCCACGTGTGTATAATTCGGTCTTGTAAAAAAATTAGTCCCGTCCCGCCGCAGGCGCGCCTCGACCCGACCAGACCAGACCCGCGCATGTCGTGCCGAGCCGGACGGACGACGGCGGCGGCGCGCGAGGAGTCCTCTTCGTGTTCCTTTCATAAGCTTAATTAAATGTCTAAGCTAAAATATGAAAATATGAAAAGTTCAAAAACAAGTCTGGGACAAGGGCTTTTACTCTTCCCTCATATTCAACTTTGAGAATTAATTTGTCATTCACCCGAGCACCGTTTATGGCGTGTAATATGTCAAGACATTCGTCTTACTTACGAGATTAAACGTCCATAATTATTTCAGAAAAATAATTTTGTGGAACCTACTGAATTTATGTCCGAAAAATGTCCATTTGTGGAACCTACTGAATTGTATAGTTGAAGCATACGGTTAAATTGAAATATTTTTTTGGCATGCACTAATATGCTTTCCATTTTGGGGCTTCAATTATGGTGTACTAGTTTTCTACCCCGTGCTACGCACGGGCTTGTTACTAGGGCTCGTTGTCATAATGTTATTGATGCGATGGTTGAAAATGGAGAGTTTGGTTTATGATTTAATTTTCTTCCGTGCTACGCTTGGGCATGTGTTAAAGGGTTGTATATGTTTTGGTTTTGTAGGATTTTGAAAGGCTACATTGTATCTTTTTGTTTTGTGAAATGTGAAGAGTGATATTATTCTATTTTGGGGTTTTTTAATTTGATGTTGGTGGTTGAAGAGATTCATTTTTTGTAATGATTTTAAATGTTCATTTTGGCATTGTACCGGTTGATGTTCATTTTGGTGTTTTGATGTTCGTTAGGGATATATGACGGCTGGGCATCTGTACATGTTACTATTGAAGCGAGAATTG